AATGCACTCAGTACTCCTCTAATCTTCTACCTTAAGTACCAGTTAAGTGTTACTTTTTTTTTTTTTTAATCTGTCTCACTCTGTTACCCAGGCTGGAGTGCAATGGCGGGATCTTGGCTCACTGCAACCCCCGCCTCCCGGGTTCAAGCGATTCTCCTACCTCAGCCTCTTAAGTAGATGGAATTACAAGTGTGTGCCATCACACCCAACTAATTTTTGTATTTTAGTAGAGACTGGGTTTCACCATGTTGACCAGGCTTGTCTCGAACTCCTGACCTCAGGTGATCCACCCACCTCAGCCTCCCAAAGTGCTGGGATTACAGGTGTGAGTCACCCACTGCGCCTGGCCTAGTGTTACTTTTAATTCCATTTCTGAAATATATTTTTTCAAAGACTCTGTAGCACCTATCATCTTTATCACATTTGCCATTCAGTCATAAAAGGCATCACATTTTATCCTGTTTTTCTAGTTATTTCCCCCAATAAAATAAATTGTGGGAAAGATTCTTCTCACCACACCCCAAAATAGGTCATAGTCAACTGCTAAGCATTTGTTTAATGGAATGTGTTTATTTTGTTTTATCTCAATTACGAAATAGCAACTCTGAAGGCAAAGTGCCAAATACGAACCAGCTAAGACACTGATACTGAATCAAAGATACATCCACATATAAATCTTTATTCTCTACTTTAGTCTAAAATATCGAAGTTAAGAATGTAGTAATATCTGCTAAGTTAGTCTGGTTTCTCTTCAAATTTAGCTTACTTCTTAAACCTAACAAATTAATGAGGTATAGTTTATGATCTGTAGCTACAAAATAAAAATGGCTTTAAAAAAATAAATCGATGAGGTAGACTATTCACTATTTTTCCAAGTGAAAAACATTTAATCATACTAAACACAAATTTCTATCTAGAAATATCACTTGGAATTTTTGTTTCAATTTATCCTTTCTCCCCTGTGTATTTATTCAATCATTTATTTATATCAGTATGGACTCATGTATACTTAACGCTCTATTTTACAGAATAATCAAACACTAGATTATTTTTTTAAAACTTTTTTTTCTTTTTTTGACTCAGAGTTTCATTCTTGTTGCCCAGGCTGGAATGCAATGGCGCATTCTTGGCTCACTGTAACCTCCACCTGCTGGGTTCAAACGATTCTCCTGCCTCAGCCTCCTAAGTAGCTGGGACTACAGGTATGCGCCACCATACCCGGCTAATTTTTTGTATTTTTAGTAGAGACGGGGTTTCACCATGTTGGCCAGGATGGTCTCGATCTCTTGACCTCATGATCCACTGGCCTCGGCCTCCCAAAGTGCTGAGATTACAGGCCTGAGCCACTGCACCTGGTATACCTCAAACTGTACCCTCCTAAGACAGCAAATTTAATCAATATTGTGTGTCTTCTAACTGTTCCACCAACTGGTCATTTCCTATCCTTTCCTTCTCCTCAGAGCTCCCTATTCCCTGAGACGAAATGGTATTAAAATTTGACTAATAACCCTACAACAGCCTCTAATAGTCAAGTGAAAGAAGAATCACACATCTCTTGACTTAAATCAAAAGCTAGAAATGACTAACTTAGTGAGGAAGTAATGTTGAAAGCTGAGATAAGCCAAAAGCTAGGCTTTTGCACCAAACAGCCAAGCTGCAAATACAAAGACTAAGTTCTTGAAGGAAATATAAAAGTGCTACTCCAGTGAACACACGAATGATAAGAAAGTATAACAGTCTTATTGCTGATACGAAGAAAGTTTGAGGCCAGGCATGGTGGCTCACACCTGTAATCCTTGCACTTTGAGAGGCCAAGACAAGAGGATCACCTGAGGTCAAGAGTTCAAGACCAGCCTAGCAAACACGGTAAACCCCGTCACTACTACAAATATAAAATTTAGCCGGGCGTGGTGGCAGGCACCTGTAATCCCAGCTACTCAGGAGGCTGGGGAGGAGAATAACTTGAACCCAGGTGGCAGAGGTTGCAATGAACCAAGATAGTGGCACTGCACTCCACTCTGGGTGACAAAGCACGACTCCATCTCAAAAAAAAAAAAGGGGGGGGGGGAGTTTGAGTCATTAGAAGATCAAACCAGCCACAACTTCTCCTTAAGCTAAAGCCTAATCTAGAACAAGATCCTAAGACTCTTCAACTGTATGAATACAGAGGTCAAAAAGTTACAGAAGAAAAGTTTGAAGCTAGCAGAGTGGTTCATGAGGTTCAAGGAAAGAAGCCATTTCTATAACATAAAAGTGCAAGATGAAACAGCCAGTGCTGACAGAGAAGCTGCAGCAAGTTAACCAGAAGATCTAACTAAGATCACTGATGAAGGTGGCTACATGAAACAGATTTTCAATGGAGATGAAACCTTCTATTGGAAAAAGGTGCCACCTAGGACTTTCATAATTAGAAAGAAGTCAAATCCTAGCTTCAAATCTTCAAAGGACAGGCTGACTCTCTTGCTAGGGGCTAATGCAGCTGGTACTTTAAGTGGAAGTCAATTCTTACTCACCATTCTGAGAATCCTAGGATCCTTAAGAATAATGCTAAATCTATTCTTCCTATGCTCTATAAATGGAAAAACAAAGCCTAGATGACAGCACATCTATTTACAGTATGGTTTATTGAGTACTTTAAGCCCACTGTTGAGACCTACTGCAGAAAGAAAGATTCTTTTCAAAATACTAATGCATATTGATGATGCATCTGATCACCCAAGAGCTCTGTTGGAAATATACAAGGAGATGAATGCTGTTTTCATGCCTGCTAACATAATATTATTTTGCAGCTCATTGATCAAGGAGTATTTCAACTTTTATGTATTCCTATTTTAGAAGGCTATTGTTGCCACAAATAGTGAGTCTTCTGCTCAATCTGGGCAAAGTAAATTGAAACCCTTCTGGAAAGATTTCTAGAGTCACCATTCTAGACGCCAACAAGAACATCTGTGATTCATGAGAGGAGGTCAAAATATCAACATTAATGGGAGTTTGGAAGAAACTGATCACAACCCTAAAGGATGACTTTGAAGGGTTCAAGCCTAAGTGGAGGAAGTAACTGAAGATGTGGTGAAAATAGAGAACTAGAATGAGAAGCGGAGCATGAAGATGTGGCTGAATTACTGCAACATTAAGACAAAATTTGAACAGATGAGGAGTTGCTTCTTATGGATGAGGAAAGAAAGTGGCTTCTTGAGACGGAATCTACTCCTGGTGAAGATGCTATGAATATTGTTGAAACAACAACAAAAAATTCAAAATATTACATAAACTTCATTGACAAACCAGAAAGAGGGTTTCAAAGAACTGACTACAATTTGAAAGAAGATCTATTGCAATTAAAATGCCATCAAACAGCGTCACATGCTACAGGGAAATATTTCATTAAATGAGCAAACTGATGTGGCAAACTTCATTGTTGTCTTATCTTAAGAAACTGCTACAGCCACCCCAGCCTTCAGCAACCACTAAGTCGACAGTCATGAACATTGAGGCAAGAACCTCCACGAGCAAAAAGATGGTGACTCACTGAAGGCTCAGATGATTGTAAGCAATTTTTAGCAATATTTTAAAATTAATGTATCCACATTGCTTTTTTTATATAATGCTATTGCATTCTTAATACAATATAGTATAAACATAACTTTTACATCACTGAGAAATCAAAACATTCACATGACTCACTTTATTGAGATATCTAGTCTATTGTGACATTTGCTCTACTGTGGTGGTCTGGAATTTAACCTGCAAAATCCCCAAGGTACCCCTATAACAGAATAAAATACAGTCGGCCCTCCATATCCGCAGGCTCCACAACTGTGGACTGGTCAACTGAGATACTGCATAACAACTATTTACTGTATTAGGTATTATAAGTAACCTGGAGACTATTTAAAGTATATGGGACAATGTGCATAGGTTATATGAAAATACTATGTCATTTTATATAACAAGATCTGAGCACCTGCAGATTTTGGTATCCACAGCTGTTCCAGGATACTGAGAGACTATGAACTGTATGTATTCACACTTGGAGGTGAAACTACAACTAAAATAAACACAAGTTTATTCAGGAAATAAATATTAACTATACATCCATTCTGTGCAGGGGGTATTCTGCTAAACAACTACTGTCCAAGAGCTGGAAAACCAAATGAGACACACACTCTAGCCTTCCTAGAAGAACTCATAATCTAATGAGGCCAGGGAATGAGGCTCAATGTAAGAAAACTAACACATAGAAAACAAGAAAATTATAAGTGATATGTAAATACACAAATATTTTTTACTTTTTTTTTCCTTATCTAAACTGCTGAGAACTTTATAAGTTTGAAACTGATAAAAGAATCCTAAAGATTGTTTTCTGGCATAAGTCACTAGAATATTTACTAAAAAAGGAATGTTTGGTAGCAGCTGAAGAAGACCATTTGGCAGATAACTGCTACGATGCTGAACACGAAAAGTAAGATCAAATACATTTTGTTGTTGGAAAAGCAACAAAATACAATGAGAAGACCAGTGAGGCTACTGTCCCAGGCTTCAGTTCAAAGTTGGTCTTCTTAGCTAACCACCAGTGGACAAAATCACTCATTCTCTTAATCAAAATGTCAAGATATTTAAAATGGGGCTATTATCTGTTGTAACTATTTCACAAGAATACTGTAAGCTCAAATGAGAATATATACAGTAAGCCTGTTTCATAAATTACTACGTGCCACCCAAATGAAAACTATTATTTATTTTAAAACAATCGGTAATCAGGAAGATACACACAAACATATGCAAGCATATATACACAAATATATACATAGAGCATTACTCTCCAGCAGAACACAGAACAATGATATCCATTAGAGAGGTACCTGGACTCTATTTTCTTGAAATGTTATGGAGAAAACATTTATCTAAAACATTTTAATTTTAAAAGAATATCTATTTCTTAACATTTAAAGATTAAATTCTATGAAGCAACAGCCAGAAATTTAACTGAAAACACTTACCTTAACAAAATTATCAGGGAACATTCCTCTTCTCCCATTTAGTTCTCCTTCTAGCCATCCTTCCTCCTGTAGCTTTTTCACATTCCTGATGACTTCTCCAACTCGAATAGTTAATTCATCATCATGTACAGCATCATAGTCATACTCCACAATATAGTCAACTAATAAAGGAAGAAAAATGAAATGGCTAAAATCTAATTCACAAAATACTATATATTAACTTTAAGAGATTTGTTTAGCAACAATATTTAATACTACAAAGACATCTGCACGGCTTATTTCAATTACTTTAAATATTTGGCTACATCAGCAAATTTCTTGAATACTTTGGTATAGCGTACAATACAACTATTAAGTGGGAGCCTCAAAAGAAAAATAATGCATAATTCATGCCATCAGACACTCTTACAATCACATGCATACTCTATGTAGCAGACAGACTCTGAGGTGGTCTCCATGATCCCCACTTCCCAGCATACATGTCCTTATATAATTCCCTCTTTGAGTGCCAATGTGACCTGTGATTGACTTCTAACCAAAAGAATGTGACAGCAGGGCGTAATGTCTCATGCCTATAATCCTAGCACTTTGGGACACCAAGGCTGACTGATCGCTTAAACTCAGGAGCTCAAGACCAGCCTGGGCAACATGGCAAAACCACGTCTCTACAAAAATACAAAAACTCTAGCCAGACATGGTAGTGTGCACCTACAGTCCCAGCCACTTGGGAGGCTAAGGTGAGGACATTTTTTGACCCAGAAGGTTGAGGCATCAGTGATCCAAGACTGTACCACTGTACTCCAGCCTAGGCAAGANAAAAAAAAAAAAAAAAAAAAGAAGAAGAAGATGACAAAGACGATGAGTTGTACATTATTATGTAAGACTGTAATGTCCACCTTAATAGGAGACTTTTTCCCTTGCTGGCTTTGAAGACACAAGCTGCTGTGCTGTAAGCTAACCTAAGGAGAGGGCCACAAACAAGCAACTTAAGGGTCTCTGACTGACATGAGAAAACTGAGGCCTAACTTCAACAACCCAAAAGTAAATGAATGGTAAGAACAAACACATGAGCTTGGAAGCAGATCCTTCCCCAGTAGAGCCCCAAATGTGAACCCAACCCTGGCCAACATCTTCACTGCATCCTTGCAAAGGACCCAGCTGGCCATGCCCAGATTCTTAAACCACAGAAACTATTAGATAATAAATATATATAGTTCTAAACTACTAAGTTTGTTACTACTTTATGTAAAAACAGAAAACAAACTCTAAAATGAAGATTAATATGTATTTATTTTACCTCTTTTAATAAGAGGATCTTAGATTACAGGATCACATATGCATATTATTAATATTTTACAAGGTTCAATTTTTAAAAAACAGTAATAGCTTTCCTGCTCAAGATAGCAGACTAGCCATATCCCCATTCATCTTTTCTTCCTCCTACAAGACTGATTAAAACACACACACACACACACACACACACCCCAACCACACCAACAATCACAACCACACCCAAAAAAAAAAAAAAAAGTGAGTATGGCCAGACACTGTTGTTTGTTAAACCAAGAGCCATTCGCACACTGCCCATTCCCCTCCTTCCTTTCTAATAGAACCTTAATTTTGTTCAGTATTTTGAGACCCTGTATTTTACAGGCAAAGATTCTCTCGGCCCCAGGGAGTTACATCTTCACTAGTCTAAATCTGTACTTCTCAGATACTTATTACAATCAGGTCATCTGAAAAATCTTGTGTTTAAATGCCAACTCTAGTTGAGTAGGTGCCAGGATATCTAACTGTCAAAGAGGCAAAGGTCTAGAGATAGCCTATTTATAGCAATCTTAATCACATACAATTAAACATACACACTGAATGGTTTTCAAATAAGCATGGGATGAATGAATTCTTTTTACTTTTTATTTTGTAATAGAGACGGGATCTCGCTATATTGCTCAGTCAGCTCTCAAACTCCTGGGCTCAAGTGATCCTCCCACCTGGACCTCCCAAAGTGCTAGGATTACAGGTGTGAGCCACCATGCTCAGCCTGAGGTGAATGAATTCTAACTTTCTTCTGGGAAGGTTTTGTTTGACCTTAAAAACAAAACACAAGGAAGAAATGGCCTCCTGCAGACTCTGAGTGTTCTTTAATGAGAATTTGATATCCATAATTGCTCTAACCACTTGAGAAAAATAGTAGATAACCGATTAACATGGAAAAGAAAAAAGATAAAAATAACCTGGATCTTTGCAGGATTGATCAAACTGCTAGATTAACCAAGCTATAACTATAATTCCTTCAGATTTGTTACATGAAGTAGTTTCTTAACTTTTAAATAAATTTTAGAGTTGATTTCTATTTGCAGCTGAAAACATCCCAACATAAGGGACCCAGCAGGAAATTTTAACAAATGTCTAATAGTGGATGCACAGCTGATAAAGCCAAGAAGAGGAAGCCTAGAGAACTTGGAGCTATCAGTGAGATACCAAACTGCTCTACAGACCCCCAAAACACCAGAAATTCAGAAAATGTAGACTCACATGAAATGCATGTAGGGCTGAAATAGAGAAATTACTCAATCTCTAAATCAACCACAATAATTCAATCAGTAATATGCTAAGTAGCATGGCATTTTCCTTCCAAGGCAAAAAACTGAAGGGTTAATCTACAAAAAAATTAAAAAATAGCTTGTGGAAATTAGTACAGCTATTATGGATTAATGCTGGTTTCTCAGAGCAATGAATACTGAGAAATGCAGAGGACTCCCAAAGCAATGGGCAGTTCTTGACCTGATAATGGAGGAAAAAAAAAAAAAAAAACAAAAAAAAAAAAAAAAAAAAAAAAAAAAAAAAAAAAAAAAAAAAACCTCAACTCCTGTCAGGCATGGTGGCTCATGCCTATAATCCCAGCACTTTGGGAGGCTGAGGCAGGCAGATCATGAGGTCAGGAGATCGAGACCAGCACGGCCAATATGGTGAAACCTTGTCTCTTTTGTATTATTGTAAAAGTACAAAAAACTAGCCGGGCATGGTGGCGCATGCTAGTCTCAGCTACTCAGGAGGCTGAGGCGGAAGAATCACTTGAAGCTAGGAGGCGGAGTTTGCAGTGAGCCCAGATCACGCCACTGTACTCCAGCCTAGGTGACAGAGTGAGACTCCATCTCAAAGAAAAAACCACCTCTTAACTCTTACCCATATAAACAGAGTTCCCAATTCGCTTTTTATTCATTTATTATTTACTCTCAAAATGAGCAGACAATAACTGAAAAACTACTCAGAGGAAGTTACAGGGTGGGGAGTAACAAAAGAGATGAGAGAATGGTTACATGCAGGGAGGCTAATCGAATTGTAAATATATGAGGGGTAATGGGAGTCAAGTTTCTCTATGTCAGAGAAAGGAGTTGCAAACGTATATGAAAAAAGCTACTTTCAATCCTGTGATATTGAACTGTAATTAGCGGTATCAGCATGAAGTTAACAGTTTTCAATACATAGACATGGAGAAATAAATAGATATAAATATACGTATATGTAGATACACATATATTCATCACACACAGACACACACACACACACATACATACCTAAGCTCTGTACAATGAATGGACCTGAAACCAGCAACATTCCAATGGCAATGAGCAAACCAAATGCCAAGACTTCATAAATACCACCTACTACTAAAAGGAAACAGGAAACTTTAGGAAAATGGCCAATTCCAGGGCTAGACAGGAAAAGTATAAGATTAGCCTGGAACATTTTGTTGTGCCAGAAAATAAGGAAGTTGTCAAATAAATGAAGTAGTATCAAACTGGTCCAGAGAAGTGATATCAAAAGGGCTCTACTGGCCAATTAAGGACATTTTGAGCATCAAAATAATGAAATTAAAAGAATATACCCCACTGAATAAAATAAGCCATGAGTCCATACAGATTATAAATCAATATTAATTTATTAAATGTTATAGTTGTATTGTGATATGGTCCTGGTTTATAGAAAATACACTCTAAAATACTTGGATAAAAGGTATCAGGAAAAAATTATTTGTACTGTACATCTAACATTTCTACAATTTAGTGATTATTTCAAAATAAAAAAGTTAAAATACATGCACAAATGTGTATCCTCAAGACATGTAAAGTTTCTAAACTAAAAGAACGCTATAAAATAAGAAGTGAGAATATTAAAATGTTTTTAAAGTTTATGTCTTCCAAAATATTTTACTGTTTTTTTTTTTTGACGAGGTGGAGACAAATCCAAGAAAACGTTACAAAACAGTTAAAACAAAAGCACACAAAAAAAATATGAAAATAAGAAAAAGACACAATCAATCCAACATCCAATTAACAGAAATGAAATGAGGAGGAAAAAAAATGGAATTAACAATGAAATAATATAAGAAAATAATCCTAAAACAATCTTCAAAAAGAAACAGGTCTGTGAGAATCCAATGAAATAATAAATTTTTTAAAATGTTCATATTGGGTGAAATTTCACATTAACAATAAACAGATCCTAGAAAGCTTACAGGAAATAGAAATTTCATCAACAAAAGATTGAGAATCCTTTTGGAACACTTCTCATTGGCAATACTGGATTCTACAAGAAGAAAAATTAAAAATCACTGAAGTATTAAAAGAAAATTAATTGCATACTCTGCCAAATCAGCACACAAGCATAGGATACATTTTCACACATGCAACAATAAAGAAAATTAACTCCCACATATGAAATTGCATAATGTTATACAGCAAAATTAAAATATGAATCAAAACAGAGGAAGATATGAAATCCAAAAAACAGTGGTGCCAACCTCAGAATAAAATAAGTGCCAAATTTGCAACTGTGCAACAAATCTAAGGAACAAACAGTATAGACTAAATGGAGAGAAAAAGTTCTAGGAGGTATGGCAAAACAGCATGGGGTACAAACTATGAAACTGTATACTATCCTTACAAATCTGGAACTCAGAGACAAGAAAGTCAGTTAAGGACAAAAAAACTAAAGATGATTAGAAACGCTTAGAAAGGCAAAGAACTGTACAATGCTGAAAATATAATTGGCTGGGTGCAGTTGCAGCTCACATCTGTAATCCCAACACTTTGGGAGGTTGAGGTCGGTGGCTCTCTTGATCCCAGGAGAGTTCAAGACCAGCCTGGGCAACATGGCA